CTGAATGAAAATAGATAAGATATAAGACATGAAAATATTAAAGGAAACTAAGAACTAGTTACTGGAGATTATCAATATATAATTTTGACAAACTAGGCAGACTGATCCAGGAAAGAAGGAAGAAAGTCCAAATTACTCACGGATAATGTTCAATGCACAGAATATATACTGCGACTATGAAGGGGTTTTTATAAGTAACTGTGGCAGTAAATTCAACAATGCAAATTCATTAGACAAATTCCTTGAAAGATATAAACTAATAAGCCTCATGCAAGAAGCAATATGTATCTTGCACGATTCTGAATACATTAAAGAAACTGAGTTTTTTAGTAAGCAACTCTCCCTTAAAGAAAACTGAAAGCCTAAACAGTTCTACTAATGAATTGTATTCACATCCTCTCCCAGGTTTTCAAGCAAACACTAATCTTGGTGTTACTATGAAAGAATGTAATTAAGTTTCCAAATCAGTTGACTCAAAGATGGGAAAATTGTCTGGGTGGACCAAACCTTATCAGATGGACCCTTTGGAATGAGTTTTCTCTGTCAGTTGACAGAGAAAAAAAAAATCACAAACTTAAACTGTATGTAGGACTAGATGTTCTGTTGGAGAGCTTAAAGGTGAGTGGGGTATATAGCAAAGTATGTGGGGAAACTCTAGGACAGAGTCCTAGAGTCTGGGCTGGCAGCTAACAAGGAAACAGGGATCTCTATTCTACAACTACTCAGGACTGAATCCTCTCTGGAAGAAGAAACTGAGAAATGGATTTTCCCAAATCTCCACACAAGGTCCCAGTCTAGCCAACACCACCTTTGTAGGTAGTCTCGTGGTATGCTGAGCTGAGTAGTTTGCCACACTTTGATGGTTTTCTGATACTCAGAATTCTAAACTAATAATTGGTGCTAGTTTGAAGCACTGTGCTTGTGGTTGTTTGTTTTGAAACCACAGAAAACTAATATACTCCTGAATACTCAACTTAGGAGTACACCATTACCCTGGTATTAAAGCCAGACAATGGAAACACAGAACTCATAAAGTGATGTAAAAATTCTCAACAAAATTTTAGCAAATTGAATCCAACTACACATAAAAATGGGCAAAATGCTGTATCAAGTGGAGTTTATCAGATATGCAAGTTTGATCTGGTCTGACATTTAAAAACCAATGCATGTAGCAAGCCATGTTACAAATTTTAAAAAGCAAAAAAAAAGGTTTAAGGTGAGAAAAAGAATTCGACAACAGTTCAACTTCATTCTTGAGTTAAGAAAATTCCAGCAAAGTTGGAATAGGGACTCCTTCATTCTACTACTCTATAGTTGACATGATACTTAGTGATAAAAGATTAGATACTATTCCTCTAAGATGGGAGAAAAGTAAATATTCCTGTGACTTTATTTTCTTGGTTCACTGATGCATTCTGGTATCTTGAAAGCAATCCTATTCTCTCAATCTCCATAGCATAAGTTAAGTTTTAAAATCAGGTGGTTGCCAGGCATGGTGGTGCATACCGGTAATCTCCGCTGCTTGGAAGGCTGAGGCAGGAGGTTAGCAAAGTGGAGTTCAGTTTGGAACTCCAATTTGAGTGAGGCCCACATCTCAAAATAAAAAATAAAAATGGGCAGGAATTGTCGCTTAGTAGTACAGTGCCACTGGATTTAAATCCAGATTTTCAGTACTGCGAATAAAATAAAATATTGTGATATCTATGCTCAGCACTATTATCCATCATTGAGCTTTAGGTTCTTTTCAGAGTCAAAAGACCAAAAGAAAAGTAAAATGGAACCCCCGCTTTGCATGTAGTACTGGGAATTGAACCCAGAGTCACTTTATGAACTACATTCCCCAGTGCTTGAAAAAAAAACGAACCCATTTTGAAAGAAAAAAGGAAAAGTTTTTTTTTTTAATCTGTGGATGACATAACTGCCTATGTGGAAAATTTAATTCACTCTATAAAATTTAAGTACTACAATTAGTAAGTGAGTTTAGAAGATTGTGGAATGCTAAATAAGTGCACAAAAATCAATTTTATTTATATCCAGCAAAGAACAATCAGAAATTGAAATGTAAAAAAGATTGGTGTATACAGTGTTAGGTTGAGAAACTGGGATTATCATATACTACTATAGGGAATATAAAATGGCACAGACACTTTAGAAAATTTATGGATAGTTGTTTTCAAAATTAAATATACATGTACCATGTAATCCAGCCAGTCCCCTCCTAGTTATTTAACTAAGGGAAAAAAAAAGGATATGTCCATTTAAAGACTTGTACACAAATATGAAGGGCCATTTGTAATTGCCATATATTGGAAGGAACTGAAATGTCCATCAGCAGGTGAATGCATGAAAAAAGTATGATATATCTACACAAATGAAGCTACTTAGCAATAAACCTGAATGAACTATTGATATATATTACAGTGTGAACAAATCCCCAAATAACTGTGCTGAGTGCAGAAAGCCAGATTTTTTTTTTTTTTTTTTTTTGGTACCAGGAATTGAATTACTGAGCTACATCCCCAGCCCTAATTTGTATTTTATTTAGAGACAGGGTCTCTCTGATTTGCTTAGTGCCTCACTTTGGCTGAGGCTGGCTTTGAACTCAAAATCCTCCTACCTCTCTCTCCCACGCCTCTGAGATTACAGGTGTGTGCCTTCGCACTTGACTACAAGAAGCCAGATTCTTAAAAGACTACAGTATATATGATTTAATTTATATAATTTTAGAAAATGCAAATGAGAAATGAGGAAGGCATAACCAAGGAGCACATGGGCAATTTTGGGAGTGATAGATATGCTCTGTCTTAACTCTGGTGATAATGGTTTCATTGATACATAAATATGTCAATCACATTCAATTGTACACCTCAAAATATGTACTTAACTGCAATTGATCATTTATCAATATTTTTAAAGCTAGAGTTATGGCAAATACTAGAAGAGGATCCATTTCCAAAAACAATGTGTTTAACTTGCAGTCTCTCTCTTTAATAAACTTGAACATGATGACATTGACTTTAACATTTACAATGTTCTGTAAAAGAGTGCTTTGAAAGTTCTTCTAAATTAGTCTCTCTAATTGAAACAGAATTCATCTAGCTAATAGCCTCGCAAATTTAAATTTAGTTTTTAGGATTTTGTCATATGGTTCAATTTGTGCAAATCCTCCTCATCTCCATTTAAAACCAAAAATGTAGTAAAAGTCCACAGGGAACTGTGTCTTGAGAGAAGTTGTAATTTCCAGAAGTCAGTCTTTGTTGTTTGTATATCCATGGGCCTCTTCTTCCCCTGAGGTCCAGCCTGGGAGAGGTTGATGTAGGAGATAGCCAACCCAATGCCAAACTTGTATTGTTTACTCAAGCATGTACCTTTAACGTGGGACAGTCAGTATTCTGCCGTACTCCTAAAATGAAGTTGACATAGCTCATTTTAAACTACACAGAACATAAGCAAATAAAAAAGGTCATCATTTCCCTTTGTTCTTTATCCCTTCCCAAGTTCACCTAAGAATAAGAGTTCTGGTTTATTAGGTAAGATCAATGCATACAGAGACTTTTTCTCCACCTTAAAATATGAAATAATTTTAAAAAATTGCTTATGTACAGGCTGTTTGCACAAAAAGAAAAATAAACCTGAAAAAAAGAGATTATTTTCAGCACATTGTGTATGTTTTAGAAAATATCTTTATGACTGGACTCAGAGAGGGTTTCAGGTGTGGCCCTCTTACCCTGGAAAAGAGGGCAAGTGACTTCTGCAAAACCAGCCTAGGGACACTTAGATGAGTCTGAAAGGTTGGGAGTGAGGGAGTCTCTGCCCATCCCCAGCTGTGGCTCCTTAATTTCAAGATTTATCTAGGTGTTTGACACAATTACAATGGGGCCATGTATCATTCTCCCAGGGAATGTTCTCTTACTTCAAAGGGCTTGCTGTGGAAGGGCAAGACATGACCTAGTAGAGCTTCTTTGTAAGTTACTGGAAGCCAATGTGTTCCTCCTGCTCTGGCTGTGCAGGCACAAACCAAACACCATTTAACACGGCTGGCATTTTTTCTTGTCCTTTCCTATTTGGAGAAGGACATTGACCCTAGTGAAAGTCAGGTTACTGACTCATGGAGGAGGGGGAACATCAGAGGACAGAACATCCGATAATGCCCCCCTTTAAACTTCACATCCCCTTTCTGGTGATGCTCCAACAAGTTCTAGAGTTATTCTTAAACAGTCTCAGAAATTACAGTGTGATTAAGGTGGACATCTTCAGTGGTATCATGTGGACATCATAAAGCTCCCAATGTGGTATGACATTAAAGACACTTAACCTGCAAGATTTTTCCAATGTAATATTAGACTTTTCCAGAGTAAACGTATGGAAAAAAAAATGACAGACCAACACAATGTTTAGAGACATTCTACAGGACCTCCAGACAGAACTCCTCAAAATGGTCAAGGGCATGAACAAAAAGCAAAGAGAGAAACTGACCTCAAGCATAAGAGACCATGGAGAAATGACAGTTAAGTACAGGATCCTGGAACCCACAGAATACATCAATGGAAAAACTGGCAAAATCCAAATAACGTCTGACAATTAGTTAATAGTAAACACCAGTGTTTTTTTTTAATCATGACAAATATATTATGACATTATAAGATATCGACAATGAGGGAATCTGGATGAACTATGTGTACATCTTTGCAACTTTACCAACAATATAAAATTATTCTAAAACTTTTAAAAGTTCTCTTCAAAATTATAAAAAAAAAAGTTGATCCAAAAAGAATGTTTGTAGCTTGTTGAAACTTCAGTGTCAAAAAAATAAACCTTTATAGCTCACAAAGATGATGCCTGAATAAATGAAAAAAAATTATCTAAGCAGATGATGTTCTTAAATCATTTCCTCTACACTATGAATTGCATGGCTCTCTTTCCCCACCAAAATCCCTCCCAAATTTGGTAGGTTAAGTTCTTCACAGAAGTAGAAAAAGCAATTATAAAATTCATTTGGAATCACTTCTTGGCCTTTTGGCTAAAATCAAGTGTAGTATCTGTTCTTATCAGTTTAATATCTGATATGTTCTGTATCCGAGGACAATATATTAAATGGATTTTTGGAGCAGGGAAATGGAATAGGAGCTTGCTCTATCCACTCCACACATTGACCTGGTATCGCAGTACCTTCAGGAATAGTGCACTCTCCTCAGGAGACTAAAAAAAGTCATTTGAAAAAATAAGAGACTCAGAATAGGTAAAACAATCCTTAGCAAGAAGAGTGAAGCAGGAGGCATCATAATACTAGACCTTAAACTATACTACAGAGCAATAGTAATAAAAATGGCATGGTATTGACATCAAAATATGCATGTAGTCCAATGGTACAGAATAGAAGACACAGAGACAAAACTACATAAATACGATTATCTCATACTGAACAAAGGCTCCAAAAACATAGCCTATTCAACAAATGGTGCTGGGAAATCTATATGTAACAAAATTAAATTAAACACTTATCTCTCACACAGCACAAAAATATTAATTCAAAGCAGATCAAAGACTTAGGCACTAGAACAGAGACCCTGCACCTAATAGAAGAAAAAGTAGGTCTAAATCTTCATCATGTTGGCTTAGGACCCAACTTCCTTAACAAGATCCTAAAGTGCAAGAGGTAAAATAAAAAATCAAAAATGGTGTGGATTCAAACTAAAAAGCTTCTTTTTAGCAAAGGAAACAATCAATAATATGGAGAGCCTACAGAATGGGAGAAAATCTTTACCACAAGACCTCAGTTAGAACACTAATCTCCAGGACATATAAAGAATGAATTCAAAACACACACACACACACACACACACACACACACACACAAAACCCAACCAATAAATAGGCTCAGGAACTGAACAGACACTTCACAGAAGAAATACAATCAATCAACAAATATTATGAAAAAATGTTCACCGTCTCTAGCAATTAGAGAAATGCAAATCAAAACTATTCTGAGATTCATCTCACTCCAATCAGAATGGCAATTATCAAGAAAAGAAGCAATAACAAATGCTGGTGAGGATGTGGGGAAAAAGGTGCACTCATTCATTGCTGGTGGCACTGCAATTTGGTACAACCACTATGGAAAGCAGTATGGACATTCCTCAGAAAACTTAGAATGGAAACATCATTTGACTCAGCTATCCCACTCCTCAGTTTATACACAAATGACATAAAAATCAGCATACTATGGTGATGTAGCCACATCACTGTTTATAAATTTAGCTAAATTCACAATAGCTAAACTATGGAACCAATGTATATGCCCTTCTACAGATGAATGGAAAGGAAAATGTTGTACAGATACACAATGGAATATTACTTAGCCTTAAAAAAGAACTAAAATTTGGCATTTGCAGGTAAATGGATGGAGCTGGAGAATATGATGCTAAGTTGTGTATTCATCTGGTCCTGGGCTTTTCTTGGTTGGTAAGCTTCTGATGGCTTCTTCTATTGGTCTGTTTAAATTGTGTATATCTTCCTGACTCAACTGGGCAAATCACATGACTTAAGAAATTTGTTGATGCCTTCAATGTCTTCTACTTTATTGGAGTATAAGATTTCAAAATAATTTCTAATTATACTCTATATTTCTATAGTGTCTGTTGTGATAGTACCTTTTTTCATCACGTATGTTAGTAATTTGAGTTCTCTCTCTCCTCTTCATTAGCATAGCTAAGGATTTGTCAATTTTATTTATTTTTTCAAGGAACCAACTTTTTGTTTTGTAATTTTTTCAATTTTTTATTTTGTTTCAAATTTATTTATTTCAGCTATAATTTTAATTATTTCTTGCCTTCTACTGCTTTTGCTGCTGATTTGTCCTTCTTTTTCTAGGGCTTTGAGATGTAGTGTGAGGTCATTTATTTGTTGAATTTTTCTTCTTTAAGGAATGAACTCCATGCAATGAATTTTCCTCTTAGTACTGCTTTCCTAGTTTCCCAGAGATTTCAATATGCTGTGTCTATGTTCTCATATACCTGTAAGAATTTTTTAATCTCCTCCTTGATGTCTTCTGTAACCCATTTTTCATTCAGTAGCATATTGTTTAGTCTCCAGGTGATAGAGAAATTTTTATTTTTTATTTTGTCATTGATTTTCAATATAATTCCATTATGATCTGATAAAATGCATGGTAGTATCTCTACCTTTTTGTATTTGTTAAGAGTTGCTTTGAAGACAAACAACAATAAGTGTTGGGGAGGATGTGGGGAATAGATATACTCATACATTGCTGATGGGACTGAAAATTGGTACAGTCAATATGGAAAGCAGTATGGAGATTCCTTGGAAATCTGGGAATGGAACAACCATTTGACCCAACTATCCCTCTCCTTGGACTATACCCAAAGGTATAGTCCAAGGACTTAAAAATAGCATACTACAGGGACACAGCCACATCAATGTTTTTTGTTTTTTATTTATTTTTTTAAAGAGAGAGAGAGAGAGAATTCTTAATATTTATTTTTTAGTTTTCGGCAGACACAACATCTTTGTTTGTATGTGGTGCTGAGGATCGAACCCGGGCTGCATGCATGCCAGGCGAGCGTGCTACTGCTTGAGCCACATCCACAGCCCCACACATCAATGTTTATAGCAGCAAAATTCACAATAGCTAAACTGTGGAGCCAACCTAGATGTCCTTCAGTGGATGAATGGATAAAAAAAATGTGGCATATATACAAAATGGAATTTCACTCAGCATTAAAAGAGAATAAAATCATGGCATTTGCAGGTAAATGGATGGCATTGGAGAAGATAATGCTAAGTGAAGTTAGCCAATCCCAAAAAGCCAAATGACAAATGTTTTCTCTGATATAAGGAGGTTGACTCATAGTGGGGTAGGGAGGGGGAGCATGAAGGATTAAATGAATTCTAGATAGGAAAAGGGGTGGGAGGGAAGTGGAGGGGGCAGGGGGTTAGCAAGGATGGTGGAATGTGATGAACATCATTATCCAAAGTACATGTATGAAGACTCAAATTGGGTCTCACCATACTTTATATACAAACAGAAATATGAAAAATTGTGGTATATATGTGTAATAAGAAGTGTAATGCAGAAAAAAACAAAATAACAAAGTACATATATAAAGGTATAAATTGGCATGAACATACTCTATATACAAAGATATGAAAAATTTTACTCTATATGTGTAATAAGAATTATAATGCATCTTGATGTCATGTATTTAAAAAAAATCAATAAAACTAAAAAAACCCTAAATGCTGAATATTTTCTTTAATAAGCAGATGCTAATCCAAAATGAGGGTATAGGGAAGAATGAAGGAACTTTGGATTGATTGGGCAGAAGGGAGTGAGGGGAGGCGAGAGGGTTTGGGGGTGGGAAGAGTGATCGAATGATATGGACATTATTACCCTATATACATGTATGATTACACTACTGGTGTGACTGCACCATGTACAAACAGAGGAATGAGAAGTTGTGCTCCTTTTGTGTACAAAGTGTGAAAATACATTCTGCTGTCATGTATAACTAATTTAAAAAAATCTTTAAAACACGGGTAATTAAACAATTTTAAAAAAATGTTTCAATAAAAAAAAGAAACTCATGTCCAAGTGACGTGAAGAGCTGTACAAACAAGGAGATTGTACTGATTATTTTTTTCCTGTGGTGCTATTGTGCAAACCTTTATTTATTGTAACACACAACATATAATTACTATTTACACATCTGTCTCCTTGCACCTTGATTTTTTGTGTGTGTGTGTGTGTGTGTGTGAGGCAGTAACATGTGGGTGGAAAAGAGTCTTTGGAATCAATAGCTTAACATATAAATAAATCCCAGCGGTTGAACTTTCTAGCAGGGTAACTGAACAGTGTGACACATTTCTATAAGTTATGTTCTTAATAATAAATTAGATACTACTAATCTTCCAAGGCAAATTGTTAGATTCTGGAATGTTTATTTCTGTGCAGGACATAGGCAAAAAAGATACAATTTTTAAAATTAAGGTATAGAGAAAATTTTTGGTTTCCATGGAAAACTACACGGTTTACAGCACACCAGCACAGATAACCTGAGCCCAGCTTTTCATAGCTTTTAAACTATCTTAGTCAGTTTTAGGTAGGCAAATATAATGCAAAATATTTTTTGTCTATAGATTTAATTCAGTCCAGTGTAGGAATAACTCTTGCCCCACCATTAGAAAAGGTAGTTTTTCCATCCCATTTGCTAATTCATTTCAATATTTAATGATTCCATATAAATTTTGTGTTCTTTTGTCTCCCCTCTTTGAACTGGTCTTAACATTTTAAAGGTCTCCCTCATCAAAATGAGACAATCAGTTGACATCTATATGATAGCCATATTTTACTTTTTTTTGGAAAATTATGCCTATCCTGATATAAGATGTACAGTAAATGTTCATCAGATATAATTGGCACTGGGTTTTAAACAAATGGACTGTTCAAAGAAAGAAATCTTGCAATCTGAGACAAAATACAAAAAAAAAAAAAATAGACACTGGCTACCTACAAAAGATCTTACCGGAGCTATAGAACAGGGAGAGATTTCCAGTGCAAAGTCAGCACCTCTCCTGTGAGAGAGTTTCAGCCTTATCCATTAGGGCTCATAAAACCCAGCAGCATTGCTGTTGTCTCACTTAGGAGGAAATGCAGCTCCTTTGTGGCTAAACAGCTCACAGCAATCTTTGCCGTTATTATAGGATGCTAGGAGGCCCTAAGTGGAGGTGGTTTTCATTAGCACCAGTATCCTCTGCATCTGCCAATTCTCCCCAGACATCATGGAGCTGGTGATATCACCATAGGCTATGTAAATGTTAAAGACTACGGATTTTATGTTCAGACCAATTCAGGCAGGGTCAATCTCAGCATATTTTGGCTGCATGACCTTGGGACTGAGGATCATTTTTATGAAATGCTGAGTCAAGAACACTCAAAAAAATAATCCCTACAATGACTGGGGAATTAAACTGAAGTCATAATGACTCAACAATCATAAGGAAATTCAAAAGGGAGGACCATTTGTTATTTGATTTCAGTTGAAATGATATTCTAAATTTGCCTTCACTAACTGCCATTGCACTCTCCTGGTCACTGGGTCCCATTTGCTCATTTTACCACTGGAATACCAAAGGCACTAGAGGTCATGGAGGGTCCTTCCACAGTGGCACAGT